CTCTATGGTGTTCCTCAGAGAGTGACTTTGGACCAAGGGGGCGAGTTTGAGACGGCTTTCATTGGGATGTTGGAGAGCCACGCGATTCACTCCAAGGTGGCTGGCTCTCATTCACCGTGGCAGAATGGCTATGCCGAGCGACATGGTGCCCTACTTGGAACCGCCTGGGCAGCTATTATTGCTGAGTATCAGTCTTGTGGCCGCACCGAGATGAAGACTGCCCTTGCATGTGCGGTCCAGGGCAAGAACTCTGTTGTTTCTCGGTCTGGGCACTCGGCGCAGCTACTGGCTTTTGGGCGGCAAGCCTGTTTCCCGGACCTCTTGGAGGAGGACATATGGTCGTCTGCGAGTCTTGGCCATGCTCTCTCCATCGATTCCGAGGTCGCGCGCATGTCGGAGATGCGTGCCGCGGCGAAGGTGGCATTGCTTAGGGGCGACATTCGCGACAAGATCAAGCGAGCCCTTCGAAGAGCCCCTGCCGGAGAGCGCCGTGCCTTTGTTCCGGGTGAGCTGGTCTACTTTTGGGCCCCGAAGATGAACAAGGGACGGTACCGCCGCGACGTTGGATGCTGGCGAGGGCCGGGAGTTGTGATCATGCCGGACGGGCATGAGCGGTACTTCGTGTCCTGGCGTGGCCGTTGCTTGCTCCTCTCGACCGCCAACTTGAAAGGAGCCGGCTACGACACCCCTGCTGACCAGGACCTGCGGCGAAAGGAGGTGGAGGCTGAACTGGAGAAGGGCTTCTTGGACATGACGGACGAGCCGGAGCCTCCCGATGACCAGGAAGCCACTGTGGTACCACAAGCTCCAGGCCTTCAGCCCCGGCGTGTTCCTAATGGTCTGGGTCGCAAGATGACCGAGGCAAGGCGGATGATGCAAGGCTTGAAGTCCGTGAAGAAGACCCTCGGCATCCCCTTTGACAAGGCGAGGAGGCGCCGACTACTTGGAGCCAGAGGACCCCGCAGGAAGAGCCGCGCAGCGCCAGCTGAACAACCACATCTAGATGACACAGGACTACATGAACAACCTCCACCTGATGGTCTTGGTTTAGAGCCCAGCACAGCTGAACAACCACCTCGTGATGACGCAGGACTACATGAACAACCTCCACCTGATGGTCCTTTAGACAGTTTGTTGCCAGACAGTCTCCAGGACGTGTGGGACCAAGCTCCAGTAGCTCAGGGTGAGGGTCGTGACAGTCGTGTTGAGTCCTACGACTACCTAGACGACGTGCCGTTCAGCCTGAAGCGCAAGCTTGCCGAGGCGCAGCAAGAGCAGCTACAGTCTCAGCCCGGGGTGTCTACGAAGCGTTTGCGCACCGGAGACGTGGCCAACTTCATCATGGTCACGCTTGCAGAGCCCGAGCTGAAGAAGCTTAAGAACCCAGAGGTGAGCCACGACGACGCACTTGCTAACGAGTGGCTTCCCCGGGGTCAGGTGCGAAAGCTGGCGGAGCTATTGGATATGCCCCTGACAGCGGCCCGTTTTCACAGAGCTCCTCGGAAAAGGCTTCAGAACCCTGGTCCTCGTTGGCGCCGCCACCGCGTCACGGTGATGCTCGGCGAGGACCCCAAGCAGGTGATGATTGCTGAGGAGGATCCTGCTCAGGTGTCGAAGCGTCCTCGGCACAAGTGTCCTCACTTGTGGCGTGGGGTTACGTTCTTCTACGACGCCAATCGGGCCCACCTCCGCAAGGGTGAGCTAAAGGCACGAGAGCGAGCTGCCAAGCAGGCTGCTTCGGGCCACAAGGTTTTTGTGGCCTCTGCTTCCCAAGTTTTTCAGGTGACCGTGGCCAGTGAGGAGGTGATCCGCGCAGCCTCCGAGGACCTCGCTGAGAATGTCATGAAGGTGCAGGCTTTTATCTTGAAGATGAGGGCCAATGGGAAGGAGCTGGACCCGAAGTTTTTCGACGGTGCCGAGCAGAAAGCCTTTGACAAGGCGGACCAGAAGGAGTGGCAGGCCTGGCTGGACAACAAGGTGATCGAGCAGCTTGACCCTGCAGCTGCCAGCCGGGTTCCTCGAGCTCGTGTGTTTCGAGTACCAGCCAGAGTGGTGAGAACGAACAAAGCTACGGCCGGCTCCAAGGACCTGGTGGCCAAGTCTCGCATAGTACTTCCTGGACACGTAGATCCAGACGTACTTGGAGGGGAACTGCGCACTGACAGCCCCACCACCACGATGACTGCAGTCAGAATGGCGATGAGCGTTGC